TGGGCTGCCCCACAGTGCCCCCAGGGACAACTGACCACTTCTCTTGTTTCTCCACAGCCTCACCAGCTGCGCATGCAGGGCGCACCACCCCTCCTGGGACATGCTCCCGCACCTGAGGTCTCCACAGGACCATCCATGCAGTGCAGGGGTACCGACAGCAGCACTTGGGGGCACTGCGAGCCCTGTACTGCACCCTCCAGAACTGGGTGCAAGAAGACCTGGAGTTCCGGCAGGAGCAGCTTGCCCAGGACTGTGCCATCTGCCAGCACCTGCAGACCCTGGTGCAGAGCGTGCTGCCTCCTGCTGCCTCCCCAGCTACCGCTTCTCCTCCCACTCCTTCTCCCCTTCCCGCTTCTCCCTCCATCCCCTCCTCACCCCTATCCCCCGGGAACGCCGAGGCCTCCGAATCCACGGTGCTGGGAGACAGTTGGCCCACCAAGACCCCCACCCCTGAGCCCTGAGCTTCCCCTCCCCATTCTTCCCTTTGCTTCCCTCTTCCAGCTTTCCCCCTCCCCTCTCCCACCCTCTTTCTTCCCCTCTCCTGCCTCCTTTCCCCAGTCTCACCAGAGTTTCATTCTCCCCTCCCCCCCCAAGTTTTGTTAAATAAAGACAGTTTGTGTTTATGAAAAAACGTGTATTTTATTTTACATCAGGAAGTGGGTCTGGGGGTGGGTAAGTGGAAGGACGTGAGGGAGGAATGAGGCACAAGCCCTCAGTGGGGCCAACCAGGGAGACTGTTAGTGTTCCTCTGGGTGAAAGCTCTCCCGCAGGGCCTCCTGGATACTGACAGGCCCCTGATGGACCTCCCGGATGGAGGGGCATACCCTATGTGTTGCAGGACATTTGCATGATTGCATTTCAAACAAAGTTTACACAGGTGTTAAGGTAGGAAAGAAAAAGATTATTTTTAACAGAATTTTTCTCCAATTGTTATAGATATATAACAAGCTCTTTGAAACCTGCATCTGTCTACAAACCCTGAAGCCATGTTTTAATTTGCGCTAGGGGCTCCTACTTTTTGAGTTGGTGACTCATACAAGGTGGAAGTTTCAAACCTAGAGAATTTTTATCTATTTTTACAGGTCTCTGTTTCACTTGCTTTTGTAAAGTATTCCCCAGAGAAACTGTATAAACCTGAGTGAATGTCTTTCACTTTCCTTTCCAGTCTCAGTAAATATTGTATTAATATTTGCAAGGAGAGCATGACTATTTCTAATTGACTCATAGATTTGTTTCACATCTTAAAGCTGAGCAATGTGTGGATAATATGCATTTTGGTGTGTTTACTAGCTTGAGTTGTTATAAAGGATGATAATACATGTACTTCAAGGGTAGCGTTAATTTTATTTTTATTTGATTTCACATTAAATAAATATCGTAAGGATTGCTCCTTATTAATTATCTCTTGTTTTAATATATTTTCTTTCACACCTATGGACTATTTAAAATACATATTTTTATGTCCCACTGGAGTCTCTTATTTTAAATTTGTATATATATTTGTAATGTGTTTAAAATTTGCGTAAGCCTCCTCGAATATTTTAAATAGAGAGGAGGGATAAAAATATTTAAATAAATAAATCTAAGGTTTTTGTTTGTACTAGCGGTGCACATCCACACACTATCTCAGTAGCCCAAAAGAAAATTCAACCTGCCCAAAGATAGAAAATGTTTGTGGGAACTCTGGTGCAGGAGAATGTATGGGTTGTGGGCTCTGGAAGGGAGTTTCAATGTAGGAGGGGATTCTGAGCTGGGACGGGGGCTTGGGTGTGTGAGGCAATTTGGGTGCAAAAGAAGGATCATGGCTGGAGTAGAGGGTTGGGATGTGAGAGGGGGTTCGGGTACAGGCTTTGGGCTCCAAGCTGTACTTACTTTGGGTGTCTTCTGGAAGTGACTGTTATGTCCTATGCCCACAGGTGCCACCCCTGCAGCTCCCATTAGCTATGGTTCCTGGCCAATGGGTACTGCTGAGCCATGCAGAGGTGGCATGCAGAGGTTCCCTGGCTGTCCCTGTGCCTAGTTAGCCACAGGAATATACCAACCACTTCCAGGTGCTGCATAGAGTTAAAGCAGGCAGGGAATCTGCTTTAGCCCATCTGTGCCACCAGTGGCTTTTTAACAGCCTTGTCTGAAATGTTGACTGAAGCCTCCTGGATCCCTTTTCAACCAGGCATTCTGGTTGAAAACTAGAGGGCTGGTGACCAGTATTCCATGTAAGCTGTGCGCTTGTGTGGCCATTCAGGAGAGATTCAAATTGTGCCCAGATGTTTAGTAGAATGCCCACAGGTTTTTTGTTTCTACTGATGGTACACATTCACTGAGACAGAGGCAGCAATGCGGGCGGAGGGGAACCTACTTGTAACAGAGCTTGTGAACTGATGAGACCTGGGGCATTAGTTAACCATGTACATGAGTACACATGCATACCCCTATGTTCACATTTCCTATTGCAATAGAAAATCCAACTGTTTGCTGGGTTGGTAAGATGGCTCTTAGTGAATATAGGATGTTTCCCCTAAGATTTTTAGGCTATCTGTTAGCATAATTTACAAGCACAGATTCTAATCATATTCCCTCAAAAACACACCCTGTAATACCTCTCAGTCATGTTTCAGCATGCCACCCTGATGCCACACACACGTATTTTACCCTTCCTCACTACAGGATGAGATATCAAGTGTACACCATTCCATGTGCTCCACTTACACATGTAAGCTGATTTTACATTAATCTTGTACCTGCACTGTGGAATTTAAGTGTTACAAAATTGCTTACATCTCTGGTGAAGTTAATGCATTTTAGTCATAGAAGCGCATTAAGTATGTTTTATATTTTTCTTCAGGCGTTGAAACACCCTTATTTTCAAGTTGGCCAAGTTTTAGGACCTTCTGCACACTATTTGGAACAGAAACAATCTGTTACTAAATCCGCTCAGCTAACAGAGCCAAAGCCAAATCTACTCAAAACAGAACCTGTATCAAAACTAGAATCTGTATCCAAGCCAGAATCTCAGTCTTCACCTGATGTACTTGACAAGACTCAGCCACAATTTCCATCAAAGATTAACCACCAACCTCTCCAGCAAATTCAGCTGCCAGAGAACACAACTAACCAACAACTACCCCAACAGCAGCAGCCACAACCAGTTCTTCCAGACATCAATAAAAACTCATCATCACCAGTAAGTTATCAAAGAATGTTAAGAGTTTATACATGAAATCATTTCTCCATATTAGCTGCAGTACAGTCACTAGATACCTTTTTAAAAAGGGGTCACATTTTCTATTAAATAAACTGTCAGTTCAGAACAGCTGCACTAGTATTTCCCCTCCATGATCTAGCTAGAGATGTAATAGTGTAGTCGATTAACTGATTAACTGATAAGCAAAAGCTTATAGGTTAATGCTATAGACTATACGCATCCCCCCGCCCTCCCCCCACCAGTAACTTTTTTAGCAGACTGGCCAGCAGCCAGGCTTAGTCCTGGCTTGTGACGGGTCTGGAACCTACCCCCGCTGCAGCTCTGCACTTAAAGTGTATTAGGAGCCAGCAGGCAGGCAGCTGGGATCAGTTCCAGCTCGCGCCAGGTCCCATGAGGGGAGCTGGTTTTTAAACTGGCTCCCCTTGTGGACCAGCTCCCGTCTGGCACCCCACGCTGCTGCCTCTGATACAGAAGCAGCAGTGCGGAGTGGCAGGAGGCTCCTCTGGTGTGGGGCTGGGGTGCATTGGCTGCTGACCCCGCCCCTAGGGACTGTAGAATAGTCAACTAACCAATAAGAATTCGTGAGATTACTCAACTATTCAATTGACCAATATTTATCATCCCTAGATGTAGCCTGGGTCTGCAAGTTTAGGGTTTATTTCCCCAGCTGTTGCCTTTCTTGGGTGGTGACATGTCCCTCTCCCAGGGTATTTTCAGACTGCAGTTTTCTTCCTTTAGTATATATTTTCCAGCACAGACAGATTGCTCAAGCACGCATGCTTGTTTACTCTTTTACAGTATAATGTTACCGTTATGTCACCATGCAGTACTTTCTGTGCAACCCTACTTTATTCTAAAGGTAAAAAGCATTACAGAGAAACTATAATTAAAAACAATAAAAGAACCTACACACATGCTAATAAGTCACCAAAATTAGTTCCAACTCTAATATGTGCTCTGGCAAGAACAGTCCTTCAGCTCCTACATATTCACTTATAGAGATTCCTTTGTGGTCACAAATTCATTCTAGCGCCTGCACTCAGTCTTATGAGACCTCGGTAGGCTCACTTTTTCTAACCCTTCCTTAAGGATTAGGGCATTCAATGGACCAGAGATCCTGTCCATTTGCTGGATCAGGAAGAAGACTATGAGCTAGTTTACTGCCAGGCAATATATCCAAAAACTCTTTGTCTTTGGTCCCTGGAAAATCCATTTTGAGCTAATATTTGCATATCTCTCCAAGAAGTAGCTTCAAAGTGTTGATGATGGAGCAAGTATATCAGCACTCTCCTCGCTAGAATAAAAGGTATATACAATACTATAATAATACATAAGCAACTGCATTTTAATAGTGTACCCCAAAAGAGTTAACCCTAATTCAGCAAGGTTTAGTTTAATTAATTAAATCTTAATTCCATATGGTTTGTTCAGGATATTACAATGTGGTGTCAGTCTGTCACAAGAACATCTATAACTGATTTATTAAGGGTTAATAAATTATTAATATTTAAAAAATGGTTAATTGTTACCCTGTCCAGCAAATAAATAGGTTATTTATTATGATGACTTAGAAGCAGGATCTGTGCAAGGAATTATAGATGAATATAGCTACAGTATCTGAAACACAAACTACTCATGTCTATAACATGATTATTTAGCAATCATTCCTTTTGTAATCTATTTATAAAAATACCATTAGTATAAAGCATTACCAAAAGGTTACATAAACACTTGGAAAGCATTAGTCCTTTTCCTCTTTGAAGCAGCAGGTGAACTAAATTATTTAAGACCACCTTTCTAGTGCTATTATATGTGACTTTTCTACTCCATCTGAGATCTGCTGGTATAATCCTGCTAGTAATGAGTACCTGCAAAATCCATTCAATTTAGGTCTTCCAAGATGTAATTTAGTTTTGAAATCTTAATTTTGTTTCTAAACACTTTTTAATTCTGTACAGTTCAAGCTTGGAGTTCAAACAAAAAACTGTTCTTAAGAATATTAAGAAATATCTTGCAGAATTAAAAAGATGTACAGGCAGTCCCCGGGTTACGTACAAGATAGGGACAGTAGGTTTGTTCTTAAGTTGAATTTGTATGTAAGTCGGAACTGGTACATATTGTAGGGGAAACTCTAGCCAAACATTTCTCCAGAGCTCAGTTTTATTCTCCCACACCTCACTTCCCTCAGTCCTTTATTCTCAAGCTGAGGTGTCGGCTGAGAAAAGCCGTTCCGCGTCTCCCTGGTCTGCTGGGGGGAGCGCTAGCTTCGCGTCTCCCTGGTCTGCTGGGGGGAAGCAGCTAGTGCGGGCTTGCCTCACCCCGTTTGTAAGTAGGGATCCGATGTAAGTCGGATCCATGTACCCCGGGGACTGCCTGTACTGTATTTTGTTTTATTGACCCCTATGATTGTCAATGACCTGTAATATGAGATGTATTTATAAATAGTGGGTCTCCAGAATCATGCAAATGCACATGAAATCAGCTGCAAATGAATGGAGAAAAGGATATCTTTAAAATCTGATTGGGACTTCAGAGGAGACCATATGGCAGAGGATGCCTGGGAAAGGCCTGACTAGCCTAGCCCTGTTCCCTCCTGATCAGCTATTCTACTTTAGGGGCTGAGCCAACTGGCTCTGGATCACTGGTGATGTGAATGGCCTGCATAATTCTTCTCCCTATTCCTGACAGACTTTTAGCTCCCAGGTTCTTTTTGCAGGCTTGAATTAGTGGAACCAAAGAGGTGAACTAGGCCCAGCAAATTGTATATGGTCTCTAAACTGACTGCTTCAGATAGATTTGGATAATAGGGCCTGATCTTGCATTGATCATACTCAAAATTCCTACTGACATGAATATCAGTTCAGACATGCAGAACCACTGCAAGATTAAGCCTTGAATTGTTTATCAAGAGGAGAGAGAAATATCTCCAAACACATCAGTGCATTCAGGCAGGCAATGAACTACATGTGAAACTTAAGAATAGAGAACATTGTAGCTTTTTTTTCTATTGAAAACAGAAACACGCAACTATAGGCCATCAAAATGGTGCAGTTGGTCTTAAAAATTGCAGGAGACGATGGGGTCAGACTCTCTTAAAGACTGTGGACAGCTGGGATGACTTGGAGGACACAGAATTTGGAATTTCATATTCCAAGAAGCCCAGCATGTTACAGTTAAAGGAAAAGAAAACAAAAGAGTTTCTGTTTAGGTAAGTCCAGTAATTACATAAGACAATTGATTTTTGTGTTTACTTTCATTTGTTTCTTAGAGCAAGTTTTCATGTATAGTAAGGTTTATTTTTATGCTTGTCGAAAATCTAGATATGTTAAATTAACTGTATTTCCTTTATACACTAAAGGGACAAAATCTGTAATGTTTATTTGTTCAGTAGTAACTCACTCTTTAAATAGCTTGTAAAGGAGTGAACTACCCCCTCTGTATACTCTCTTGGCCAGGTATGGCCCAAACTTGCCCTGCAGGTATGCCTCACAATACTTGAGACTGCTTGGGTTTTAACAAGTATACCTTCTTTGATGGAAGCAATGAAAAACCAAACAGTCTAATTCACATAAATAAGCCACTTGTAATGAAGACCCATAAAGGGAGTACTTGGGCAATAAAGATTTTGGTTTTGAGTTTTCATAATTGCCCAATATCATTATTTCATGTTCTCTGTTGAGGTGAAGTGTGATATATGATCGTTGATTAGGGAAAGGTTTTTTACAGTAATTCTTTCACCTGGTACTTTGATAAATGTTTACTTGTTGTAAACTTATTTTGTGATTAGGAACTGATTTGTGTATCTTAGTGCCCAGTTAGAGAGAAACTTTAAGCATTTGGTAATCACCAAGATTACCAAGAGTGCACTTGGTATAGACCTGGATATATTTTTTTCACATACCGTCTACTTCTAGTAAAGTAAATACGATTTTTCCACTAACTTCACTAGAAGTAAAATCAGGACTACAATCATTGCTTGGAAAAGATTTGTAGAGGTTAAATAAGAGCACTGTACTTACCAGACTAGAGTAAATGTCTGTAATTATGAATCTAGAATTACTACATATTTTTATTTTCAGTGTGCCAGAACCAAAGGCCTTGGGCTGTATCCATTCAGGAGGGGAAAGCAAAGCTCTGATGCGAAATGACTCTGGAATATCAAATACATCAGCAAAACAATACTATCTGAGACAATCAAGATATCTTCCTGGTAAGGGAAAAATCTTTGCCATAGAGAACACAAGTTTTGACGTATCTATATGAGAGACCTTTTATTCTACTGATTTGGATAATTTCACATTTCATTAACTCAGCTACACTTTCAGATCTTTGACCAAATACTGCTCTAGTTCTTTGGGGATACAGTCCCTTCAAACGCAGCATCATTGGCATGAGAGAACCAGGCTATATATATAAAAAAGATATCAGCATCACTTGCATACTGACAGTTTATTGTATAAGTCCACTTAGCAATAGTGTCTAAATCTGTTGACTCCATCAGTTAGACATTACCCTCCTCCCCCATTGGTAAGAAGATCATCATATAGGAGTTACTATAGAGAACTTTCTGGGTGTCTGGCTGGTGAGTCTTGCCCACATGCTCAGCATTTAGCTGATCGCCATATTTGGGGTCGGGAAGGAATTTTCCTCCAGGGTAGATTGGCAGAGACTCTGGAGGTTTTTTGCCTTCCTCTTTAGCATGGGGCACAGATCACAGCTGGAGGACTCTGAGTCTTGGGGCCTTCAAAGTATTTGAAGGCTTCAATATCTGAGATATAGGTGAGAGGATTATTCTAAGAGGGGTGGGTGAGATTCTGTGCCTGCACCGTGCTGGGGGTCAGACTAGATGATCATAATGGTCCCTTCTGACCTTAAAGTCTATGAGTCTATGAGAATCCTCTAATGCAAACACCAGGGTCTTGGCTTAATGTATACATTTCTCCCATTTCCCCTCCAGGAGTGATCAGATAAAACAAGTCAAAGCCAGGGTGGTTTTAATAGTGCCATCATAATCCATAGGCCATATCCAACCATCATAGTCCAGGCACCTAGACTAAATTCAGGTCAAGAAAGTCATAAAGCCTCTACTATTTATACCAGATTGGTTGTCACAGCATAGAATGAGTTAGTGCCCAGATTTTCAATCTGTACCTCTAACAGCATGAAGAGTAGGATTCTGGAAGTGTTAGCAAAAAGTTGTTCGTTAGAGGTGTAAAATGTAATGTTGTGTTCGAAGAAAGAGTCCACATGAAAATGTTAGTCAAAAATAGAAAAGATTATTATTTAACTATTATTATTTATTGATGTCTGTTCATGATTATGGTTGATATACAGGACCAATCAGTTACATTTTACAATATTATAGCTTAAGGTAACAGCTTTTTACTATCTTCAGTAAAGGTTCATCATTCAGCCATGAAAACGAGGCGGTCCTTTGGCACTTTAAAGACTAATCTGACAAAGTGTTTTTTACCCATGGAAGCTTATGTCCAAATAAATCTGTTAGTCTTTAAGGTACCACTGGACTCATCATTGGTTTTGCAGATACAGACTAACATGGCTACCTGTTTGAGACTCACCTTCTAATTCGACATCCTATGACATTTTGGAATTTAAACATAGTGCTCTCTCAGTTGAACCTTTTATAAAGCTGTAATTTATTTTGTTTAAGACAGTGTTTTTTATAGCCATCACCTATGCAAGGCATATGTAAACTACATGCATTAACGACTGTTATGCCATTCATTGTTTTTCATGAACACAAAGCAGTTCTTTGACCACACCCTAGATTTTTATAAAAAATTGTCTCAGATTGTCATATAAACTAGTCTACAAATTTATCAGTTTCCCACACTCCAGTATGATGATGGAGAGGATAAATTACATACTCTGGATTTTAAAAGGGCTTTAGCCTTGTATTTTGACAGGATTAAACAATTTAGACTATCTCTACATTTGTTTATCAACTATGAAAGAAAGAATAAGGGAAAAGCTTTCTCTGTACAAATGCTAGGGTTAGAGTACGTATTAATGAAGTTTATAAAATGATGGGTTGCCCATTCCTCAGGGAATTAAAACACATTCTACCAGATAGAAGTCAGCCTTGATGGCTTTTTCTAGACACGTTCCTCAGAGAGATTTGTAGGGCAGCAGTATGGAGTTCTCTTTACACCTTTACTATTCCCTAGATTTAGAATTTAGAGCTGATGCAAGATTTAGCAAGGCAGTACTGCAGTTCTTATTCAGTTAGGATTCAGTGATCCCACCTGCCTTGTTCAGAGTACTGCTTATTAAGCTATATTGTAAGTGGGAGTATGCAGAGCACATTCACATGAGAAATGAAGATATTTGCCTCTGAGGTGGATTCTGCATATTGACACTTCCTGCCTGCCTCTCACTATCTTGGAGTCCTACTTGGAGTCACAGGTAAAAGAACTGAAGCTGCTGAAGCACCACACCCTGTTTTATCTTTGCCCTGAAACCCTAGATGTTCACTGAGGGAAGAGATAAGTGATGTGCATGAGCACTTCAGTGGTTATTGCTCATTAAAGTTCTACTATTCTGGCTCCATTAGTGAGAGTATCTCATAAGCGTGGGCGAACAGAGTCCATCTAAAAGAGTTTCAGTTGCAGGTAAATAATCTTTATTTGCCAAAAAAAATTGGGTTGTTATTAACTTTATAGATAAGACTTTTCCAGAGAATTTACAGCTAGGAAGAAAAAAGTCAATTCCTTAGTGTTAGGTAAAGGTCCATAGACTCAAGAATATTAATCTCTAAAGAATGCATCTCTGCCTATAGATAGCTCAGGTGATAATCTCCATTCCTTCCCATTTTTAAGGGCATTTCTAATATTCTTCTGCTTCAAAATTACAATTTTAATATGAGAAATATATGGATATAGTCATCCAAAAATAGAAATCAACTTCATCTTGTAAGAAAATCCTAGTACCAAGGCAGCTTTAAAAAAAATTATATTTAATTGTCTTTCTAAACCCTAAATTTGGACACTTATCTGTTACTTTAATTCTGCTTGATCTGGGTGCTGCTTTCATGCCATTTAATCATATCCACCTCTTTTAATACCTGTGTGTTTTGTAGAAATACTAGTTTTTCGTTTAGCCATAAGAAGCCTAATATTTTGCATACCCCTTTAATGGGTGTAACTGTTTAACAGTTTTATATTTCATCTTGGAAATACAGCATTTGGTAACATAATTTAATTTTTATGTAACATATGGCTGTTAATTACTTGATTGCCATATTTTGTTTGTCTTTCATTTAGCTATAGTAGCTCACATTGGTCACATTAAAAAAGATTTTTATAGTAATGTATACAAGCTTAAGAATAATTGTCTCTGGGGCAATTAAGTTTTATTTTATACATTTGATCATTACAGTTCTCTCTGCACTGGTCATTTTTAGGATTCAGTTATAAAATCTAAGCATTGTTTTAGTTCTTTGTATCATCCTTTCTAAAGATTTTAAGTGCTTAGTATGTTGTCTTTTGATTCTGACATTCACACTCTTTACAATTATTGCTTTTCCAAGGTGTAAACCCCAAGAACGTCTCCTTGGTAGCAGCTAGTAGAGAAGGCTCCCAAGGAATCTGGAACAATCCATTGTTTTCTAAGCCACTAGGGCCACCTGGAGGAGGTCTGTCTTTTAACAGAACAAATGCAGGTAATTCATAATTATAACAAGTACCTGTATGATTAAAAATTATTGTATATACCTGATTATTTTGTGTTGTTTTTTTTAATATATAACGTTAATTTAGGTAAGGTCTTCTAGTTTGCCATTGTTTCACTGTATTCTTGCTTTTCTCTTTTTGTTTGCATCCCATCAAAAGAACAGTGTACTTTATATTTATACACCAAGGTATATATTCTAATTTCAGGGTGTGGAGGAAGTCCATACTATAAAACAGATTATGAAGCTTGGCCGTGGAGTACTGTTTGAATTCTAATCTATCAAAGCCATTAATTTACTGTGTTAATTTAAGCAAGTAGTTTGAGCTTACTATTCCTTAGTCAACTTCAACTAGAACATTAGGGGAAAAGAGCAAAAAATGCTGTGAATGAGCTCATGCAATAAAAATAATGTGCAATATTTACACAGTGATTTGTTTGAGAATCTCAAAGTATTTCTTAAACATTGAGTCAACAAGCCTTATTCAAATTAAGAAGTATTTTACTGCAGAATAATCCGTCTTTCTTCAGTTAGGTACTTGTTGGAGTAATGTACTTCTCAAAGTGAGTAAGGATGGCAGAGATTGGCTTTCACTGATTAAGTCTCATAACACTCCTGTATTATATGATAAGTACTATATCCCCATTTTACAGGTGGGATAATTAGGCACAGAGAGGTGACATGACTTGTTTAAAATCTCTCAGAAACTTAATGTCAGAGCCAGGACTAGACTAGTCTATGACTCTTGGATTCTCAGCTTTGTATTCTAACCAAAAGACCACATTCTTACTTTTTATGATTTTATCATTTAGAACCAATTTCTCAGCTGGTGTGAAGAAGTGTTCTTTCATTGACTTCATCAGAGTTATGTTGATTTGTCACCAAATGAATTTATGGCCCTACAATTTTTGAGTTTTAAAACTATGTATAGGTCTCACTTTCTTGCAATTGCTATGTCCCTTCTAATAAGGGGTAGTGTGGTAGCCAATCTGTGCCATCTGTTGTTTTGTTTTAAATTTAAGCACACGAGTAATTTTAGCTAGGAAGAAAGTAATTGCCCACATTGGAATTTTTGACACAATATGAAGGGCATCTCTTTAAAATACCTATTACTTGACCCCATTGCTATAATTTCTTAGCACCTCAAAATGTATTTATAACTGAGCTATTATCTCTGTTGTACAGATGGAGAAATGAGACAGACAGATTGACAAAGGACCAGATTTTCAAAAGTATTCAAATGCATAAAGATGCAGAAGCTCCTTGTGTGATTAAAAGAATGCTGAAGCAAGTTAAGTACCTAACTTCCATTGAAATAAATTGGAGTTAGATACCTGACTTGCACATGTGCTTTGGAAAATACTATTAAGCATGTCTCTGCATCTCTGCTCTTACCTTGAAATAAGCTATGCAATTTGGGCTTTGCAAATTGTGTAGCTTATTTCAAGGTAATTTTGAAATAGCTTATTTCTACACAGCACCAAATTTTGAAATAAAGTACTATTCTGAAACATTCCTTAGCCCTCATGCAATGAGGTTTACCAGGACATCAGAATAGCGAGCCCATTATATTTCAGTATAACGGGCTTGTTCTTAAGATGCAGAATAGCTATTTTGGGATACAGAAGGTATCCCAAAATAGCTCCACAATGCAGATGTAGCTCTAGACACCTAAATATTTTTGAAAAACTTGAACTTAGGCAAGTCTTTTAGGACAAGCAGTGAGTCTTCAGTGGAGCAGAGAATTACACTCAGGTCTACAGTCTCAGGTTAGTGTCTGAACCACTGGGCTATCCTTTCTCCTTTAAATAGTGCCATGGCATTTTCAGTGACTTCACTTTAACCTTTTATCCAAAGAAGACACCTTCAATCAACAGAACTCTTCCTCTTAATACCATTCCAGGACAGTGTTTCAGTACTGATTCATATAAGAGTGTCATCTAAAGACCCAGTAGTCCTACTTCCTCCAACACCCGGATTTTTCTTGAAGGTCTCCAGTCCTAGTAGTGACCTGCCTGAATCTATGTTTAGCTTATGAAATTAGACAAGTTTACAGCTCCAGGTTATAAGGATGAGAAATGAAGCTGAACAATTCTGTTCCAAAAAAACAAAAAATTAGTGCAGTATATAAATGAACAGTGAAATTCAAATGTGAAATGGACACAATCAACCTAAAATTCCTGCTTTTGTCTGGAAAAAAGGTTACCTCCAACAGCTGAAGAGACCAAGTTTAGAGAAGAAATACTATTTTCAGTGTTTACTTTGGGCATTTGATAGCACTTTGCAACATTATTTTCTCCATTTCTCCTTCATAGTCCCCTGAATTCAACATTTTGTCTGGCTCTTTTACACAACACTACTATTGTAAAACATATTTACTAAAAACACATGAAAATGTTTAGTAAAACACAAACATTGGCAGGAAGTCCCAAAAGCAGGTGGCATAGCAGCTGAAACTACTTTTTTACTCAATTTTTTTATTTATTAGATTTCCACTGTCATTGTCCCCTTAACTGATTAAATTAAGTTTACTTTGGAATGTTATTTTTTCTCCCTCAGAGTGACTATAAAATGTAACAATTTAAGGGCAGGTTTAGCTCAAAATTATGAGGCACTCTCCCTAAGAAGAAATACAGGGTTAAGTTCAGCTAGGCTAGCAGTCTGACTAGCTAACCATGCTTGGGTGATTTATTAAACTTACTGTGAACATGTTGGTGATAAATCATATTTTGCTTGCCTTCAGTAGAAGCCTTGTGGCGAGTTCAGTAGCAGCATTTCCTACTTTAGGTTAAGCCTTTTTGCAAACATCAGACTGACGTCGTAGTTAAAAAAGCCTTTAAACACTTATCACGTGTTTTGATTCATGTTTCCCCTATTTCTGTTCATAAATCACCTAATCAATTCTTCATCTACATTTTCTGAAGGACTATCTTTTCATCCTTTTCTCTTTCTTTCTTTCTTTCATCTGTCTTCTCTGCAGAAGAAAACTTAATTAAGCCAGTTGAAAAACTATCATGCAAAGAAAGGGTCAATGAAAAATTAGAGGAGAGCAAAGGTAATGTATGGCAATGATAGCTTGGGATAGATGATTCTTAGCAGGTTTCATAGTTATGCATTTTCTTATTTTGCTTTTCTTGTAACATTTGCTGTTATGTAATAGGTTCCAAATTATCTTACATTTCTGATTCACTTACTGTGAATCAGAATTCCATGTTGTGGCAAACTTGGCCTTTCACCTTATAAAAGTGCTGATCCCAGTTGAGGAGGGATCATTTTGGTTTTCTGTGCAGGGGTGAGAGAGATGGTGAAAAGAGGGAATGCTGAGGATCTGCTTATCATTGAACTGTGCTCCATGAATGCTCTTTCTATGGCAGAAAGGATTGAGGACACAGCTGAGGTTGGACAGTCTGTGACCTTTTACTTGTACATAGAGCAGGGTGAAGGATTTTTCCCATTGTAAACTTCTCCCATAGTAGTTTGTGTCAAGCAAGTGAGCTCAAAATATATCACCATATTTAAATTATCCTTTTAATGTGAAATACTGGACCACATGTTTTGTCTATATGTCTAGCTCTAGTAAACATGCTTAGTTATTGATCCTGTCCTATTAAAGTCAATGGGAGCTCCATGACACAGTGCTCACAGTGCCAGCATCTATAGGACTTTTGTTTCCACTAGTCTAGGGCTGCGACACATGCATGTTTTCATGATGCAGAGAATCCTGTCTACATTAGCACTTGCTCTTTTGCTGCCACCTGTGTAGTTCCACTATTGCTAGAAAAATGGGTACGCAGTTTTGTAGGAGAGAAGCCCATGGTTCTACAGTGGATTTTTTTTTTATACCTTTGTAGCTTGCTAAGTTATTCTTGCTGCAGCTGTGCAGAGCAACTCCTCTTGGTTACGCTGATTTTACGTTGATGTAATTGCATTTACTGCAGTGAAATTACATTAGTGTAATGATATGTGAAACAGAATGCCTCACACGGTACTCACTGCAAGTATTACAGAGCCTCTGGACTGTTTCCTGGCACAACAGATGCATAATACCTAAGAGATATAACACCAGTTGATCATATTTTTGGATTATTCCATTACTGGCTTCAGATGGCTCAATGGTTATGCCCTGTATGAGGAGCCAGGCATGCACTGTGAGGGGCAGGGGTCACATCCTGGTGCACCGTTACACATGCTGATGTTATGGCAGAGTCAGCAACATCCTGGGCACCCACTGCCAGACCACTAGTGGGCCTGGAGCATCTTTGACTGTGCTCAAAGAGGTAAGGAACGTTTATTGTTAATTCATTTTTAATGTATTTTTAGTGTTGGATTTTTTTATCTTTTAGCCTTTTCGTGTGTGTTTTATAGCAAAATTAACACTGTATCTTTCCCCTGTGGTTTCCGTTTAGCATGCAGCAACAGGTATAGTTCATATCCAGTAACAAACAGCACATCTCTCCAGACCTCTCCATGCCACCTACCCTGTTTCCTCAGTCCACTCACCAGAGTCCTAGAAGAGCTCAAGGAGAAGTTGGAGGATGAATAGGTGGGCATACATTATGAAGAGGTAGTTGGCTTTATTGAAGAGTATAGAAAAAGCCTGTGGAGACAGTCTAGCAGTGTATCTAGTAATTAACTTGTTCTCCTCTCTCTTTCAGTGCTTAGAATTGTCAGGGATGTTGCTGAGCTGTCAAGAACACTTGTGACCACTCCAAATGAAGAAAATACCTGGTGGGGGTGGGAGGGATATATGTGTTTGCAGGTCTGTTAGCAAATCATTGATTTTGTCCTCTGTTTTCAGAGACATCTCAAAGGACTGTGACAGTTTGTACTCTTATGTTCACTTTTTATAAGACTATTATAAATTGTGTACTAAGTATGCTTTGTGAGGTAAAACGTGTGGCAATATTGTATACAAAGTTGTAAAATTATACTTTGTAAGTCCTTTTCCAAGTCTAGGGAAATAGCTTTAAACTAGCTCTGCAGAGACAAAAAGCAAACCAGCATCACAGCCAGGTGTCAGTATAATCAAATGGACCAGTGGGTCCCAGCCTGTGGTCTGCGGACCTCTTGTGGTCTGCAACGGTACTGCAGGGGGTCCTTGGAAAGTTTAAAAATAAGGATTGGGTCCACTTTTCTTTTTCTTTCCTTACTTTTCTTTTCCTTTTCTTTTTTTTTCTCCTCCGGGGGTGGGGGGTGTCACTGAAATTTTAATAGATTGAAAAGGGGGTCCATATGCTCAAAAGGTTGGGAACCACTGAAGTGGACTAGCACCAGCTTAAGCAGCCATTCATTGCAAGTTTGTGAGAAATTTACATCTTGTCAGTGGAACAGATGGAAGTTCCTGTTTCACAGGCTTTTGGTTGCCCAAACCCCCTGTTGGAAATGATTCTCAAAAAAGGGAAATGGTATAAAAAGGGAAATACACTTCCCAGATTAGCTCTCTTTGCTCTTTTATTCTCTGCTAATATAAGAGACAGATTTTGGGGGGAAGTTTGAGACTGGGAATTTGCTGATGTCGCTGTGCAGCAGAGGTCTCCAAACTGGGGGGAGCTCCCAGAGGGCATGGAGGAATGTCCACAGGGCGCAGTGGGGTCTAAGTTGGCCCCCATGGGACAGGGAAGCTCTACCCAGTGCAACCACACCCCCAGCTCTACTCTGTTCCAGCTCAATCCTGGCTCCTGTTCCTATTCCTGGCCCTGGCCCCGGCCCCAAATTCAATATGACTCTGCTGTCAGAACTCAGCTGCTGGTTGCTGATCTATTCCTGACTCAGGGCTGAAGCTGAGGACAAGAATGGAAGTGGAGTCATACTTCGCTTTTGTCCCAATTACCAGCATCTACCATAGCTTGGCTGTGGCTCCACTTCTATCCCCAGATGCACCCCCAACTGTGACCTCTTGACCCATCCATATCTCCCTCCCCCCCAAGTTGTGGCCCTACTCCTCGCCCAATCTTGGGGGGGGAGGGAGAGGCAAATGCAGTAAGGCATGGTAGGACCCTCAAAAGTTTGGGGACTGCTGCTCTACAGTGTAATTTGGGAATGGCAGGCTACTTGGTTTGAAGTATTCTTGCACTACGGCTGGGGGTAATTTATATGCTCAATATAAATGTGTGTGAGCAGGACAGGAGTGGTTGCTCTCATAGCAAAGCAGTGTAAAAGGCACCTCAGGCTGGAAGATTGAGCATACACAGCTATCAAACTGTCCAGATTGTACCTGGGATACTGTCACAGAGACATGTTTTATTAAAGGTTTATCTTTCCCCTGGACTTCTGTGTCATTCTTTATTGTCCTGTGTTTTGATCTGGCATGGGTTGGGGAGGTAGGGAAAACATGTATAATTTCATGCCCTCTGCCCCACCCTGAATGGATTAAGGATGTTAAATTTAGATTAATCAGATGATCAAATAGTCGATGCAGTTTGCATTGACTATTCAATTAGTCTATAAAGGCACCTCTCCCTTTGAAATGATAGAGGCAACCAGGGATGGGGGGAAGCGATTAGTCAAGTCACTAGTTGACTAGTCGCTTACATCCCTAGAATGGATATCTAAGAGGTTGGCAGAAAGTTTATTACTCCTGTAGAGGAGATGAAAGGAGGACACAACAGAACTGATTGCCCAAGCAATCTGCTCATGAATATTTGTTTCTTTGGATGCTCTTTCACTGTGTTTTCAGTCTCTTTTCCTTACCACCCAAGGAGATCCATGACTTCTTTCTGGCCCCAGGCAGTGAGTGTATCTAATAGCTTTGAATGTGTGGAGCCAGCATGATTGGATGCTCTCAGAAGTGAGCTTCTAGGTATGCTCATCAAGATGAACAATCAGGAAAAGGCATTTCAAAAACACACAGGATTTTAAAGAGGGTGGGGTTCAGTCTCTTACTGTTGGGTAGGAAGTTCCAAACTGTGATCTAGAGTAGCCTTTGGCACAGGGTTAGGGGCCTTGTGTGACAGCTGCTGAAGAACTGTTAAGTTCAACACATGATTCAGTGTCTACTCTTCTACTGTGTCAACAGAAGTCGATGACCCAGGCTTTTATATCTTTCAGGGACATGATGTTATTTTGACATTGTAATGAGATTATTTGATCAATAGGGGAGAGATTTAAGTACCAACACATGTCTCTAGAGTCCAACTAGGATGCAAAGGTCAGATCAATATCACAAAGTTAGACTAAAATAAACTTATTTCAGCTGACACACACACATACAGTTTCTAAACAGACATCAGTTTCTTATATAAAATGGATACTTTGCAGGCTTGTTGAACCATGAGTAAGCCTTAAAGTGGCCATGAAAAGCAAATAAAGATCTGTTTGGCTATCTGCATCTGCCTGAAAAGTTTAAAACTTAGTACATCAATGGAAAATCTTGGTTTTGCAGGTGTTGCTTACAACCCATCTGGAGGATATATCCCTTCCTTTCATAAAAAAGAAGTTGGATCAGCTGGGCAAAGAATACAGCTAGCTCCTCTTGGTGCATCAGCATCAGGTAAGAAATATCTCCATAACCCTGTCATATACTGTGCCATTAGCAGAGGAAGGGCTGTTCAATTTCCATAATTTCCAGGAAGTGTTTTAAGAGGTATTTTTATGCTCTTGATATACTGGAGTGGATCTGTAATGGTGTAAATCAGTTGGTGTACATAGATATAACACAATGACATTTTTTGAGGATCTGCTGGTTACAATTTCAAAGTGACATAGATAAATCCAAATGTTTAAGCTTTCAGCCCCAAAGTTGTTAGTATATTATTCATAACTTTTAAAATATTGTATCCTCTGCTAAACAGCCTGTTTTAACTGGTCTCCCTTGGATTGGCATTTAAGATGGGTTTTGTTTTCTTTTCATCTCTGTGTCAGTGCTGGTCATCTATATATTTGGGCTCTGAGATGAGATTAAAGCATTATTAAAAAGAGTAATGCTGCTGTGTTAATAGAATTTTTGTAAAGCAGCTAGGCTATTTTGCCTTTTATTTCCTGTAATTCAAATGACTGACTATAACTACAGTTGATGTAGTTCTGCATTGTGAAAGGACCTGTTACACTTCATCATGCAGTATATGTGTATTGAGCAGTTTAAGACCCCAATACTAGCTTTCACTGTATATAACTGTTACCTCATCTCTTCTGTAATAGACATCACATTCTGGGCACCTTTTGACCAGAAGGATATAGTATTGACAAACTGGAGGGAGTTCAGAGAAGACCAATAAAAATTATCAGGAACAGGAGGAACTGACTTGTAAGGGATCAAAGATCCATTGAAATAAACAGAAAGACACACCTTGACTTCTGTGATCAAGCACTAAAAGAATTCAGGGGGATCACTTAGTTAAAGGGACTGTAGCAAGCTGGCAATAGGTGTCTGAAATCCCTATCTGCTGGCCTGTTATGCTCCCAATAAAAATATGAAGTACTTTTTGCTAACACACTATTGCAGGTGACTCATTACCTGGTCCAGCCATAAGGGACATAGGAGTGACTCTTTAAGGTACACCTGCATACCACTGGTGTTGTCACGGAGGATACATGTAGGCTACATCTACACTGGCACCCTTTTCCAGAAATGCTTACAACGGAACAGTTTTCCGTTATAAGTATTTCCGGAAAAAGCACGTCTACATTGGCATGTCATTTTCGCGATCAGGGCTTTTTTGCGGAAAAGACTACTGTGCTGTCTACACTGGCCCTTTTCCGGAACAGTTTTTCCGGAAAAGGACTTTTGCCCGAATGGGAGCAGCATAGTTTTTCCGGAAAAACAATGACGATTTTACAACTGAAGCATACACTACAGCTGTGTCTACACTGGCCACTTATTCCGGAAAAGCAGCTGCTTTTCCGGAATAAGTGGCCAGTGTAGACACAGCTGTAGTGTATGCTTCAGTGAAAAGCAGGCTGTGTTCACACTGCAACATTTAGTTGCATGAATGAATGAAAATGTGTCAGGAGGGAAGCAATGGGATGCTATGTTGCAAAAAAATAGCAGTGTAGCTTGTCTAAGCTGTGCTTGAGTTTACATGGATTCAAGTAGGTATATACCTCATCATCTAAGTTGTTATTTATTCCCATGCTGGAATACTTGCAGTCTATATGAGCTACTGAAAGATGTATGTGGTATAGATCTAGCCATAGAAAGAAGATCTAGCGTGCTGCAGTAAGTGCTTAGGTAGGAACTCTAGGAGCAGCAAAGCCAGGGGAACAGATTTGAGGTGTACTTCGTTGTCTTATTGTTAAGTTCTTTGATAATAAAGTCAAACATGAAGAAGGGATGAGTTTTGATTCACCAGTGTGAGGCTCCACACAAATAAGAAACAACCCCCCCACCAAAAAAAACCTCCAAAAAACCTCCCCTCACCAGTGTGGGCTCCCTGATGCTGGGGGGACCCTGAGCCTCAGGGGCCGGATCCAGGAAAGCTGGGGGCTGCATCTGGCCCCTGGACATTCGGCTCTCCACCCCTGCTTTAAAGTGCCACAGGGCTACTCATCATTTTTAATGTTACAGACTAACATGGCTACCTTTCTAAGAATGGAAAGAATAAAAACATAAGAACGGCCATACTGGGTCAGTCCAAAGGTCCATCTAGCTCAATTACCTGTCTGCTGACAGTGACCAATACCAGATGCCACAGAGGGAGGGATCACAACAGGTAATCCGCACATGATCCCTCCCGTCATCCACCTCCATAAGAACATAAGAACGGCCATACTGGGTCAGACCAAAGGTCCATCTAGCCCAGTACCCCGTCTGCCGACAGTGGCCAGCACCAGGGGTCCCAGAGGGGGTGGACCGAAGACAATGATCAAGCGATTTGTCTCCTGCCATCCTTCTTCAGCCTCTGACAAACAGAAGCCAGGGACACCATTTCTATCCCCTGGCAATAGCCTTTTATGGACCTAACCTCCATGAAAGTATCTAGCTTCTCTTTAAACTCTGTTATAGTCCTAGCCTTCACAGCCTCCTCTGGCAAGGAGTTCCACAGGCTGACTACACACTGTGTGAAGAACTTTCTTTTATTAGTTTTAAACATGCTACCCATTAACTTCATTTGGTGTCCTCTAGTTCTGATATTATGGAACTAATAAATAACTTTTCTTTAGTCACCCTCTCTACACCACTCATGATTTTATATACCTCTATCATATCCCCCCGCAGTCTCCTCTTTTCTAAACTGAAAAGTCCCAGTCGCTTTAACCTCTCTTCATATGGGACCTGTTCCAAACCCCTAATTATTATATTTGCCCTTTTCTGAACCGTTTCTAAGGTCAAAATATCTTTTTTGAGGTGAGGAGACCACATCTGTACACAGTATTCAAGATGTGGGCGTACCATAGTTTTATACAGGGGCAGTAAGATATTCTGTGTCTTATTTTCTATCCCATTCTTAAAAATTCCTAACATCCTATTTGCCTTTTTGACCGCTGCTGCACACTGTGTGGAAGTTTTCAGAGAACTATCCACGATAACTCCAAGATTTCTTTCTTGATATGTTGTAAGCAAATTAGCCTTCATCATACTGTATGTATAATAGGGGTTATTTTTTCCAATGTGTATTACTTTACACTTATCCACATTAAATTTCATTTGCCATTTTGTTGCCCAATCACTCAGTTTGGTGAGATCTTTTTGAAGTTCTTCACGGTCTGCTTCTGTTTTGACTATCTTAAACAGTTCATGATTGTATAGACCTCTATCATATCCCCCCTTAGTCTCCTTTTTTTTAAGATGAAAAGTCCAAGTCTTTTTAATCTCTCTTCAGATGGGACCTGTTCCAAACCCCTAATCATTTTTGTTGCTTTTTCCTAAATCTTTTCCAATGCCAATATATCGTTTTTGAGAGGAAGCAACCACATCTGTATGCAGTAGTCAAGATGTTGGCATACCATGATTAAATATAGATGCAATAAGATATTCTCTGTCTTATTCTTTGTCCCTTTTTTATTGATTCTTAACATTCTAGGATGAGGGGACAGCAGGAAGTGGGGAGCTGGCTGGGAGTCCAGGGGCTGGGACAAGGGGGCCGTGACAGGGATCCAGAAATGACCTCCCCTGGTCCAGAAAATCCCTCAGCTGAGACCAGTCAGGTCCCAAGGGTGCCAGACCAACCTGTACCAGTATCTCTAGTATATTTGATATTAGAATCCTGTGAGCCACCTAAGGGTATGTCTAGACTATATGCCTCTGTCGCCAGAGGCATGTAGATTAGGTTACCAGGCATAGGAAAATGAAGCGGCGATTTAAATAATCGCCGGTTCATTTAAATTTACATGGCTGCCGCGCTGAGCGGACAAACAGCTGATCAGCTGTTTGTTGGCTCAGCGCTGTAGTCTGGATGCGCGGGTGTCGACATCAAAGGCATTTGTCGACCACCCAGGTATGCCTCCTGGGATGAGGTATACCTGGGTGGTTGACAAATGCCTTTGATGTTGACACCCGCGCGTCCAGACTACAGCGCTGAGCCGACAAACAGCTGATTAGCTGTTTGTCGGCTCAGCGCGGCAGCCATGTAAATTTAAATGAACCGACGATTATTTAAATCGCCGCTTCATTTTCCTATGCCTGGTAGCCTAATCTACATGCCTCTGGTGACAGAGGCATGTAATCTAGATGTACCCTAAGTTAAAATTCTTAGGTTGGTGAGTTCCAATTGCAAGTACATCATCTGCATTGACTGAAGATGATACCACTGTGTTACTGACAATGTTTATTATTGCCTCTGGTGTATAGTGGAGATCAGTGCACAGGTCTAGCTGCTTATCAATGACTTCCCTACCTGTTTCATCCACAGTAATCCTTGATATCATTTCTTCTTTGTTGATCTTTTGTATTTGTGCCTCACTGGTAGTATTAATGTTTGTAATGTCTTCTAGCAAGCAAGATGCATATGTAAAAGCTAATGATATGCTTATAAGAAGTACACAGTAGCTTTTTTCAGGGGAAAAGGCAATATGCCACATTTATTGAGAATACAATGTAAAAAACATCTCACACACACCTGCTGACATTGTTCTAGTTCCCAGTCTATACCCATAATCAACCTAATGGCCTGTTAAGTTGGAATTGATCTGTCGGTTATAAGCTGATGCTCTGAGGCTTTTCAGGGCAAAACCAAAGTTCCATTGAAAAAGACCCCATCTTTATAATGATCATTTCCCATGCATGTCTATAGGTTTTACAGCATCATGTTGCAATCAGTTGTTCCTTAATGAGTATTTATCTCAACATTTCTTTCATTGTCATCTTTAATCAGCATTTTGTTGTTGTTTTCCTTGTTATATTGTACTCTTGTGATACTTGCCTCAGCTGCAGGGTCATCAATCTGTCTCTCGTTAGTCATCAGACGTGGTGGCTTCTAATAGTCCCTTGTCTGCCTGGACTCTCCTCCTCCTTCCTTGACCATCTGGACATAGCAATGTCCTTCATGCTTATCTTTCTCTACAAACTTATTTCTCAGTCACACAAATAAGAATTACATAGTTTATTTTGTGAAGTTGAAAACCGTATGGAACATTCTAAGAGTATAAGGTAATCATTACAGAATTATCCACACAGTCAAGAACTACTACAAACATTCTGAAATCCTCTTATGCTCAAAAAATAGACATAAGGATAAAAGGGTGACCATGATGAGTCACAAAGCCCTTCTGGTCTACGCCCACCTCATCATCGCATATGCACTTATCATCTTACCAGATGCATATCTACCAATGACACTAGGCTATTCCTTTCTGCTAATCAGAAAGGGTAGCCGGCAGGTCCAGCTAAACACATCACATTCTCCTAATATATCCCACTCCTATGTTATTTAGACTGGCCTCACGGTGATCCCAATGAATGCTATCTTTGCTGTGGCCATACCTCATAAAGGTGGTTTAAATTAAGGATGTTAAATACTGGTTAATTTATTAGTGGAGTAGTTGATGGAATTTCCATCGGCTACTCAACTAGTTGATAGGCACTTCTGCATTCCTCCTTTGAATTGTACAAGGACACCTGTAGGGGGCCCTTGTACATTTCAAAGGAGGAATGCGGAAGTCAGTGTGTAGCCCGGGGCTAGCAGGAAGTCCCGCTGACTCTGGGCTCTATGTGGACGCTTACCCTTTGAAATGCACAAGAGTCCCCAGTGGGGGACTCAGAGCTGAACTCGGACTCCATGCTGATCCGGGGCTCCATGTGGCATTTCCAAGGAACCCAGGATCAGCTGGGAACTTACCAGGCTCCGTGTGGCGCTGCCACTTTGAAGTACTCCCTCATAAAGGCAGCAAAGAGTGCGGGGGGAGGGCGGGAGTGTGACTAGTCAACTTGACTAGCCAATAAGCATTTGCTTATCGGATAGTCAACTAGTCAATCAGTTCTTAACATCCTTAGTTTCAATGTACATGTCACTCCACATTTCATATTCCTAGAACATGGTGCATGACTTGCTCACCTTTTATGAACTGCTCTAAGATATTACCTGGCATGGATTCCACAGATAATACAGGCCAGACCGTGCATAATTGGCATGTCCACCTGCGAAGATGTAAGGCAGCATCAGTTTCACAACTTCTACAGAAGTGGCCTTTCTCTTTCTCTCTCTGCTCTTATACATATAATCATTAAGACTGACCACAATATCAAGGCACAATGTTGTTGTTCTGCTCTTGCTAGCTAAGTCTTTCAACACCACCTTTAGGTCTTAAAATGGGTTTTAATGAATTTTTCTTCTCAGCATTTCCTCTGCACCTATTCAGAGTGCCTTGACTTGCTGAGTTGTTCTCTTTCAGCTCAACATCTTTGTCATCCATGAGTCAGAAATAGTTATATTTTGGATTTTTTTCTTCTCTGAAATGGTGACACAGGTAACTTTTAATCCTTACTGCTTCTGACTTTGTTTCTTTCAGATTATTCTTGGAAAACCAAAGCTGCTCGTGCTCAATTACCAGGCCCTACTTACAATCCAGCAGCAAAAACCATGAATATCCTGGCTCGCCCACCTCCAATTCAACCAGTACATGGAAGAACAGACTGGGTGGCCAAATACGGAGGACATCGATAGAAGTGCTGTTTCATGGTGCACTTTCTGTGCAAGTTACATTGTTATCCTACAATGGGAATCTGAAATGCATATTTCCCTTAATTTTTCTTAAGACTATGCAATAGTAGAAATACTGGAGATCTTCTATTTTATTTCTTCTGCGGGTAATAAAATCCATAGGGCTAAAAGATAGGATTTTATATAGTAGTGTATAAATATCTTGCCAAAATTGAGTATTTGTACTACTAATAGACAACTTGTAAATGTTGTTAGAAAACTTTTTGTAGACTTAGCTGCTGCTCTGTATACTCTTAAAATTGCATGACTTTAATTTATCCTATAAGAATAACTCTGTATTGGTGATTTGTACATTCATATCCATAAGCAAGTAATAGGGCCAAATTGGAGCAACAACTGGCTTCTGAATGGATGCTGCTTCCTTGTGCAAGTTCCTTACTGTGAAGTTAAACAGTGAAAGCACAAATAGTGGGAGTTTGAGAATACAGCTCTCTTGAGTAGTGAATGCTACAGTGATGTGGCCACGGTATCCTAAGATTTAATTATGATACCAGAATATTTTATTAACAAAATGTTCATATTAGGCCCTAATTCTGCAGATTTACATCGCTGCTGCTCATCTGAAAACTAGTGAGGTTACACAAAATCAAAGTAACTTCGTATTTTTGGCTTATTGACTTTCTGGCTAATTCACCAAAACACAAGTGAATTTGTTAATACCCATTTAACTGTAGTGTTTTTTCTTAGTGACCATAAAAGTGAACTACAAAATTCCTCACTTCTTACAATAATTCACTAAATTACATAAGACAGGAAATGAGAGTGTTAGAGGAAGAAATATTTTACGATTGTTTTCCTTATTGAAGTACGTATCCAATCCTGGTTTCTAACAATTATACAAATTCCTCTGATGCTTAATGAAGTTATGTAATAGTCCAAGATCTATAAACTTGTTCAACACCACTCTTCTAAGGACTTTGTACCTTCCAATGAGTTGTGGAGAGTTTTTTTTAAATGTCAACTGGGATGTGACTATTAAAACCTGCATTTAAAGTAGGAATTATAGACTTAATAACTACATTAAATCTGCCATTTTTAAGTCCAAAATGAGTATATACTCTGTTCTTTTAAAGGTATAAAACTGTTTGTTACAAATTGATCCAAGTATTGTAAAAAGTATTTTGTATAGATTTTATTAGAAAGCTTTTGTTGATCTAATTTGCCATAATCCAATAGTTATGTAATTTTACAGGTGCTCAATTTAATCAGTCAGACTAGCCATAAAATGTCAGCTATTTTGCTATGAAAACTACATCCAAAGTAGTAGCTAAATGAAATGACACCATATAAAACTGGAAAAGTTAATAGTATCTATAGTGTGATGTAGGAATTTCTGATTAGTGATGTACTACAGAAAACTTCAATCCCATGTTGTATTTGGTGTTTTTTTTTTAACTGGTTTGTCAGTCCTTCAAAGCTAATCTTCCTTGTATTATTTAAAGACAGTTGTAATACACTATTTAATTAGTGGTTGTGTTACTTAAAGGACAGACTTTCAAAACAGGCCTGGTTCATTAGTGCACTGAGAATTGGAAAGCACTAGCTTGATAATAAAGATCACTTCTGAGGAGTACATGATCATGGTTTACAGTCTTTCTTTATTGTTTTTTAAAATTCTTAAATCAAAGAACTATATAATAAATTGTCTGTGAAAAGTCACTTTGGGCAAGAGATTCTGAAAAACTAAAATATCTTTTGTCATAAAAATACATGCCATCTGCTGCTCTTATGGGATCAGAGGATATTTACAGCCATGCAAATAGAACTGAACAGCTCATATGGTCAAACATCCATACCTCAAACATGATAAAGCCTTAAATGTACTGAACTGTAAAAGCATGCATGTCCTTTCAATAGTGAAAATTGCTTTTTAAAAGTGACTGTAAACTCCACAAAATGCTTAATATTAAACAAAAAATAAAGCCCTATATATTTTCTACTAAGTACTTTTTGGGTTACTATTGTTTTGCCTGAACATGGAACAAGCTTCTACTTCTAGCAGTTTGGAATAGAAACTGCCTCCTACATTTTATTAGGGGGTAAAACGCAACTACAAGAAGAGATCAATATTCGGTTTTCAGTTTTGTGGAACAGTTGAGAGGTAATGTGCAATGACAGCTACTGTACAAAATTTTAGAAGTTAGGTATTCTCCATACATGGTAATCAATAAATTTGATTACCACTTCCCCTCGTCCCCAATTTCATTCAGCCACAATTGAAGCCAATGTCTCCAATTACTGGAGGTAGACTTGTTCTTTATACCATTTGAAAGCTGTTTATATCAGTGGTCTTCAGTTTACCAGATGTGTTTATATGTTTCCATTTTACTTCCACTCCAGCCAGCTGATCTGTCCAAAAGCAACTCAACATCTGCTCCAATAGTTAAGGAGAACTCCTAAATGCTACTGTATGAGATCTTATGTCAACCCTTTAAGTCTACATTCACAAACACACTTAGACAGGCTGATGGCGAATGTTTCTATGCCTAACTTCCAGGTGCCCAGATCCTAGAATCCATAAAGCCTGAGTTAGACCTTAGAGGTGGATTCAGAAAAAAAGCCAGAATACGAGGTAGCTCCCTGAAGATACGTCTACACTACTGCGGGTTTTTGCACAAAAACCTTGAGCATCCACACCTCTCGCACGTTTTTGCTCAAGAAAATTTAGTTAATCACCAGAACAGAGGGATTTTTGAGGTGTAGGTAATCCTCTTTCTGTGAGGAATAACTCCTTTTTGCACCAAAGTTCTGGTGCAAAAAGTGTGTGTGGACGGGCAACGGGGTTTTTGTGCAAAAAGAGCCAATTGAAAAAAGCACAGGTGCTCTGGTGGCTATTTTGTGAATAGGAATTAGAGCTGTCTCGCCAGAAAGCATCCATGCAGTCTGGATGCTCTTGTGTAAAAGCGCATCACTTTTGTGATATGCTTTTGTAGTGTGGATGCGCTCTTGCACAAGAATTTTTTGTGGAAAAATCTCTTCCACAAAAAGCTTCTTGCGCAAAAATTCTGTAGTGTAGACGTAGCCTGAGAGAAGCTTCTAAGTCAAAGCTACAGAGAGGCCCCTCCCTCTGCCTGGGATTCTCAGCACCGAACCCTCTGTTGGGGTGAGGTGCTTAGCCATTTTTTGCAAGAAGTTTGGGGAAAGTGAAAGGAGGCCCTCTTTTATAACTTTTAGCCAAATGGTTTGGTGGTGTGGGAGGACCCTCCCTGATTAAAGTACCTCCCCCCCCAAAGGAATGGGGATTTGAACAAGAATCTGCTCTTTCACGTGAGCACTCTAGCTCCTAAGCTATGGAATATTCTAATGAGGGGGAGGGGCTCCAGACTTTCCAACTGAAGCTGTTCTATGGTGGATAAATTAAGGGAGTCATTGGAGCCTGGGAGGGGGAGAGAACTGTTTCCTGGAAGTTCCAATTCCCATCTGAGTTCTCTAAGTATCTGGCTACAGAGTCACTCATTTGCTTGTCCTCTGCCCTAATACTGAAGCTGTTATATGGTGCATAAATAATGAACGACTCAACAGGACAGAGACAGCAAGCAAGCATGAGTGACTCTGCAGGCTGGTGGCTAATGCACTCATCTGGCAAACTTGTGTTCCTGATGCTAATCACTCATCTGTGAAGTACCAAGGTCCTATTCAAATTCCTTCTCCTCCAACAGAGGGGGGACTTGAACTTGAGGTATCTCAATCCAGTTGAGTACTCTACCACTGAGCTAAATGTTATAAGGGACATCCCTTCTCAGCCATTTTGTGCATCAATAGGATCCTGAACTTGGTAGATGAGGTCTGAGCATGCTCACCAGACTGGGCCCCACAGGCAAGTCATACAGAGGAATGCATGTCTTCTCCTGGTTTGTGCATTACTCTGGCTTCAGGCAGCTGGCTGCCTAGTGTGGAGCTGCAATATACATACTTGGAGAAAGAAATATAGGCCCCTAGGGACTCTTACTGCACAAATTTAGGCACTTGGTTTATAATGTTTGGGGGCAGCTGAGCAGAGAAGGGAATGAATCCCAGTGGGGCCTGATTCTGGGGTTTAATTTAGCAGTTAAGTGCTTAAACCTGTTTGTGAACCCTGTCCTTAGTCTTCAAACAAATTGAACTCAATATGAATGAAATGTTGAGGTCCACCTTAAATTACATCCACCTGCATGCATATCTTACAGAAAGCATGTAGCTTGTTAACGCTGTACCAGGCATTGCTTCTTTGCAAATGATTATGCCTTAATGCAATGCTAAGAGACTATCATTTGCACTCATTTCTTTCCTTCCCTACTTAGTGGTTGGTGGGGGCAGGGTCTTCCTAATGAAATATCAGCCCACTGCAATGACTTTGTTTTTCACAAAATAAATCCATGCAGGAAAGGCATAAAATTGCACTAGTCTTGACAAAAAAACCCACCTTTCACAACATATAACTAAATTATTAGTAAGATTTATGCTAAATCTAAATGACTTCACTTTTAATTTCATAAATGCAGAAACCATTAATCTGATTTCAAAGCAATACACGCCTACCTCAAACATTGTCAGATTAGGTATACTGGGATATAATCTTGAAAGATACCATATCAAAGTGAAATGTACAGTATTTAGCCTGACTCACTTGCTGACAATAGTGTACTTTGTTTTCCATTATTATTTAATAGTACAATAGTGCCTACAGGTTCTGATCCTAAAGTGGGGCTACTCTGTGGTATGCCCTGTCTAAATAACTACTGAAAGAGTTCCTTCCCAAGTGATCTCATGTTGTATATCTATGGCCAAATGAAACAGACAAATGAGGATGGAGTGAAAAGGAGAAGTACTGTAACAATGCAATGAGGACATTGTACATAGCGAATAGTAATCAAATGTTGGTAGTTTCCCTCCCTACGCCTATAGTGCCCAAAATGGCAGGGAGGGATTTCAAGATGAGGGATGTACTTAGTGAAAGTGAGAGTTCAAGCCTGTATTTTACTGTGCATGGGTACCCTGTCAATTGCAGAATCAGAGGCTATGCTTTTATATTATATCTCAGTTTCTCACTACACAACACGGATAATGTACTGAAAATGTAACAACAAGTGCCAATTTTAAAGACAAAAATAACCACCCTTTGGGGGAACCCCCCCCCAAATAACAGGATATGACATTTGATGCAAAAATAACTTCTACTTGTTTTATGTTCATACAGTTGCAATTTCAATCATCCCACATCTCCAGTAATGTGATTATGCATAATTCTGTCTTAAGATGTTTCTTCACCATCTGCAATCCAAGTCCCCAACCATTAATAGACTATTGAAAGGAAAACACTGTAAGTTCATAAAAGTTATATAAAAAAAATCCCCAAAACACAAGAGCAAGAAGAAAAGTGAAGTGATTGGGTTTTAGTGAATCTTAACACACAATCTCTTTGAAATAACTGAGTCCACATGTAATTCAACAAAAGGGTCATTCAAAAATATGGACAAAGATATGGTCAAGTTGTACAGTACCTGGCCTCAGGTATGCAGGCATGAATTTTCTGGAGTTATAAAATCTCATTCTCATAATACAGGTCAAGGTTCTAGATGCAACTGATAGAAACATACATAATCAATCACAGCTACTTCAGTAGTTCAGTGTGTGTCTGACCTGCTAGCAGGAGCAGATAAAATAATGGAACCAAGTAGATTGACATGGCTATTTCAATAGACCAAATAAATAAATAAAAACCCAGTAAGACATAATAAATATATACACAAACTATTCTGGAATGTTTAACATACTTTCTTGCTTTTTACTCACTGCACATGCTTTCACCTCCTAGGATTTCCTTAGTAAATGAACTCCTCTGATGAAAAGGAATCCTGTTCTAACCCCTGCTCTGGCACTGACTCTCAAGTGGTGGCAACTGTCGTGATTATAAGCACTAGAAACTGACAAATATGGCTCCTGGAAAATGCTTTAGGAACACAGATATTGCTACATGACAAGCTGGCTCTGGCATCTTACTGGGCTGGGGTTTCCAGGTAATTGAGACTGGTCCTAGAGTCTCTAGGCCTGGTTGTTTCCTGTCCTGGAATGGATGGGAGTCTGGGGCTGCGTTGTGAGGCCCTGGGCAGAGATGCTGCTTGCCTATGGATGAGTGAAGGATCTCACTGCTTCTGCCCAGAGCTGGGGAATTGGTCTAGCTGGGTTGCTGTCTCCTAGTTGGGTGCAGAGCTCTTCTCCCTTGCTCCGTATTTCCAATGAGAATAATGAGAGTACTTGAGCAAATCACTGGAATTTTTTCTCTCAAGTTTCTCCCCATCTATAAAACGGGGATGGTATTTTCTTATTTACCTCCCAGGGTTGTTCTGAGGATGTCTGTGAATGCTTTGGTGACACTGGGTGCTGTGTAAGAGCTACATAATACTGTGAAGGTATTTCAAAACCTTTCCCAACCTTGAATGATTTGAACTAAGAGTAAACAAAGCAGCAAACATTTCGATGTTACTATTGAATTGATGCTCGAGCAGATTCACGGACAAGCAGCACATGCCCCAGGGTTTTCTTCCCCAGAGATGGAGGCTTGGGGGAAGGAAAAGATTGTCCCCAGCCTCCCTGCCTAGCCCAGAGCTGAGTGTAGCCTACTCCAGATGGCAGGTCCCAAGAGACCCTGGTTCACATGTGCAACTGCATGTCCAGGCATCTTGAGGAAAAGCCAGCAGAGCTGCCCATGGGTAGGATGAGAATCCGGGGCCCTTCCTTTTACTTTACTCATTTGATTATACTAAGGGGAATCCAGTGGGCAAGAGGGAAGAGTTTGTAAATTTCAGCTGCTGTGGAGCTGGTGGAGTTCAAGTCCTGTGTTACCAGGATTATTGGGCCACTGCTGAAAGGGGCAAAGTTAAGGTTGTGAGGGCAACCCCACCGGTGCATCGCCTGCTTTTAAGACATTTGAGTTTTGCTGAGCTCTGCATTGGTTAGGGATGATGTACCACCATATAGCCTTAGCTTTGCCGTAATATCTGGTTTTGCCAATGAATAGTAACATGTCAACCCCAGGGGCTGTGAGCCTAAAGTAGTGAGCCAGTCCTCTTCAGGTCCCTCCCCCCGCCCCCCGCATCCCCCTTCTGTTCTGAAATGTGATTTGTCCTTTTCATATGTGTTCATTTTTTAAATTGTATCCTTTGGTATATATGGTTGTGACTATTTTCTTCCACTATTTGATCTGAGGAAGTGGGTCTGGCCCACGAAAGCTCATCATCTAATAAACCATCTTGTTAGTCTTTAAAGTGCTACATTGTCCTGCATTTTGCTTCAACTACCCCAGGCTAACACGGCTACATTTCTATCACCAATCTGGAGGGGAGCTAGAGCGTTAGTGTGGGAACCTTGAGTCTCGAGGGCCACACTCACGTGAGCTGGGGTATTAGGTTCCTCACCCCTGCTTTAAAAACAAAACCTCTTACTCTTAAAAATCGATCCCCGTATCTCTGGTCGGACACGTTAGATATCTTTCCCCTTAGCTTGGGTGTGTCTGAAATCTCCTGCCATGAAATCCAGTTTCACACAGAAGGCAGTTCAAACCAATTATATAAAAGAATATTAGGCAAGGGAATGGGGACAGACCAAAAGGCCTAACTGGGATAGAGACTTAAGGGAATTCCACAACAACAGGGAAACAATAAAGCAATCCTTTCCCCTGTTTCAGAGGGGTCCACAACCTTCTGCACCTACCCGAGGCCTCTAATCCCACCACAAAGTTGAGAGGCACTAGCATGGTGAGGGAGCTGCTCCACTACTGCTCAGTCTAGGCCTCCAGCCTGTTTGGGTCACTGCTTCTCAGCTACTCAGTCTTCACACATGCATTTAAATCCAAAGTGTCCACCCTGTGTCCCACTCTAGCGGTGTCCATCACACCTCCTATTCCCTGAGCGGACATGCACCTGCTTCCAAGAGCAACTTAGTCCTTCTTCTTTCCACCGAGACCACCACACATTGCCCAAGATGGCATTTACCCGTCAGATCCTCCCAATTGTCATGGTCTCCTGGAGCGTCTCGCCTGATCTTTCAGGACTTGGCTACTCACAGGTAGGCACCATTTGCTGGCTTATGACAGCAATTTTGTCTAAATCAGTGGTCACCAACCAGTAAATCTATTGGTAAACCTTGGAGACTGGCAGATGTTCCTGACTGGTTTGGCCAAAAGCCTTTCAAGTGCCGGCACTTTAGCTGCCTCTCCTCCCACTGCCAAGCTGCTCCTGCCCTTTGCCTTGGAGCTGTCCCCTGGGAGACTCCTGCTTGCTGTGCAAGCTGAGGGAGGCAAGAAAGGGAGGCACTGATGTCATGGTGTTCCCCTTCCCCTACCCCCGTACTCCATCTCCACAGAGTGAACAGGGTGGGGCCTCAGAGAAGGGGCGGGATGGGACGCAGGGCAAGGATATTTGGGCTTGAGGTAGATCCGAGATTTGACTTAAATTCAAATTGACTTGTGCTTAAAAAGGTTGGAGTCCACTGGTATAAGACACAGCACTGGGCCAAAACTAACATAAAATAATATATCGAATTATTATGGTATGTATATTCCTCTACAGTTAGGAAGGTGAAATATAGTGATGGACCCACGTAGAAACCTCAGGTGTAATGCCGGTTCCTAACCTAGGAGAAAGTTCAAAGCCATATACAAACTATATGAACTAGGCATCTCTAGCAAACATTTTTACCTTTGTAGCTCAGTGTATATAACAATTGGTAGTCTAAGACTTTAAAATGTTCTGATGCAGTTTTTCTTCCAGTGGAAAGGCAGACCTACCATTAGGGGAAAGCAAAGTTAGGAAGAATGCCCTCCAGGATTCATCAAATGCATTCACAGTTGTGGAAAGATAAGCAGCTGATTCTATTATAACAATCATGTAATAAATTACCAGAAGCAATGAGCTACAAGAAGTCTCTCGTTATTTTTCCTGGCAAAGATTTGTGTCTGTTGCTAGGCAATATAGACACTTCTGACGATTACAGGACTGTAAAATAATGTTTCACATAAGCAATTATTAAACAAGGTGTGTGAACAACGGCTTAGACTACTTCCCCACTGTAGAATAAACATTTCTTAAAGCAATGGCAGTAGGGCACATAGCCCTTAGAAGTGATCAGCATAAGCTACTTCTGTAGAGAATGAGCCTTCTAACGAAAATTAAGTGTTCAGGAGGAGATAGATAGCACAGGCCCATTTGGTTTGATGCTGCCACTTGTCTTTCACCCTTTTCTCATTTTGTTATTAGTATCCTATAGCCAAATCTTTGTCACAATGCCTACTCATAGCTACTGAACATTATCTGCTCATGGCTGTTTTATTACTAGGCAACATCATTCCTAACACTAGAATGAGGAAGTCATTACTAGGTGATATCATTCCTAACACTTGACCGAGGAAACAGAAATTAAAAGGTACAGTGACAAAAAGCAAGCTGCATGGAAACTTTTCAAAGACACCATAATAGAGGCCCAACTTAAATGTATACCCCAAATTAAAAAAACACAGTAAAAGAACCAAAAAAGTGCCACCATGGCTTAACAACCAAGTAAAAGAAGCAGTGACATATAAAAAGACATCTTTTAAAAAGTGGAAGTCAAATCCTGGAGCAGAAAATAGAAAGGAACATAAACTTAATCAAATTAAGTGTAAAAAATAATTAAGAAAAGCCAAAAAGGAGTTTGAAGAGTAGCTAGCCAAAACTCAAAAAGTAATAGCAAAATGTTTTTAAGTACATCAGATGCAGGAAGCCTGCTAAACAATCAGTGTGACCCTTGGACAATCGAGAGGCTAAAGGAGCACTCAAAAATGACAAAGTCAAAGTCATTGTGGAGAAGCTAAATGAATTCTTTGCTTCAGTCTTCATGGCTGAGGATATTGGGGAGATTCCCAAACCTGAGCCATACTTTTTAGGTGAAAAAACTGAGGAATTATCCAAGACTAAGGTGTCATTAGAGGAGATTTTGGAACAAATTGATAAACTTAACAGTACCAAGTCACCGGGGCCAGATGGCATCCACCCAAGAGTTCTGAAAGAACTCAAATGTGAAATTGCAGAACTATTAACTATGGTTTGTAACCTATCCTTTAAATCAGATTCCAAACCTAATAACTGGAAGATAGCTAACATGATGCCAATATTTTAAAAGGGCTCTAGAGGTGATCCTGGCAATTACAGACTGGTAAGTCTAACATCAGTACCGGGAAAATTAGTTGAAACTATAGCAAAGAATAAAATTGTCAGACACATGGATGAACATAATTTGTTGGGGGAAAGTCAAGATGGTTTCTGTAAAGGGAAATCATGCCTTACTAATCTACTAGTGTTCTTTGAGGGGCTCAATAAACATGTAGATAAGGGGGACACAGTGGATATAGTGTACTTAGATTTCCAGAAAGTCTTTGACAAGGTCCCTCACCAAAGTCTCTTAAATAAAGTCAGTTGTCATGGGATAAAAGGAAAGGTTCTTTCATGGATTGATAACTGGTTAAAAGACAGGAAATAAAGGGTAGGAATAAATGATAATTTTTCAGAGTAGAGAGAGGTAATTAGTGGAGTCTCCCAAGGGTCTGTCCTGGGACCAATCCTATTCAACTTATTTATAAATGATCTAGAGAAAGGGGCAAACTTGATGTTGATAAATGTAAAGTAATGGACATTGGAAAAAATAATCCCAACTATACATACAATATGATAGGGACTAATTTGGCTATAGCTACTCCAGAGAGAGATCTTGGAGTCATTCTGGACAGTTCTCTGAAAACATCCACTCAATATGCAGCGGCAGTCAAAAAAGCAAATAGAATGTTAGGAATAATTTTAAAAAGGGATAGAGAATAAGATGGAAAATATCTTATAGCCTCTATATTAAATCATGGTACGCCCACATCTTGAATACTGTGTACAGATGTGGTCCCCTCATCTCAAAAAAGATATATTGGCATTGGAAAAGGTTCAGAAAAGAACAACAAAAATGATTGGGGGTTTGGAATGGGTCCCATCTGAAGAGAGATTAAAAAGACTTGGACTTTTCAGCTTAGAAAAGAGGAGACTAAGGGGGGATATACTAGAGGCCTATAAAATCATGACTGGTGTGGAAAAAGTGAATAAGGAAAAGTTATTTACTTATTCACACAATATAAGAACTGGGGGTTATCAAAGAAATAAATAGGCAGCACGTTTAAAAAAAAGGTTTTATTCACTCAGAACACAGTCAATCTCTGGAATTCTTTGCCAGAGAATGTGGTGAAGACTAGGACTTTAACAGGGTTCAAAAAAGAACTAGATAGATTCATGGAAGTTAGGTCCATCAATGGCTATTAGCCAGGATGGGTAGGAATGGTGTCCCTAACCTCTATTTGTCTAGAAATGGATGACAGGGGAGGGATCACGTGAGGATTACCTGTTGTGTTCCCTCCCTCTGGGGCAGCTGGTTATGATACTGGGCTGGATGGACTGTTGGTCTGACCTAGTACGGCCGTTCTTATGTTCCTATGAATAAGTGGATGACAGGACTACTGAATGTTCCTTTTATTTCTTCTAAAATTAGGGATTTTGTTTTCAATTGTCTTTGAGGGGACATAATTTGACCTGTATTTTAAAAAGTTGATAGTTTTTTTCAGGTGTGAGGAAGAGATAAGGAAGAGCATTTTTCTAATGTGACAAGTTATTGTAAGTAACAAAAGATTCTTCAGGTCACAGCATTAAACCCCAAACACTTTTTTAGCATGCTGAGTGAAGAAAAAAGGAAAGAACTATGTGGGTAACCTTTCCCAACACTTAGTTGCTTTATGTCAGAGTCTTTGAAAAAAACAAACATTTACTCCAGAAGATTTCTGAAGTTATTTTACACTGGTATTTCAAACAGTGCCTGCTGAATAAAGCTCATTCTAGTTCTCAGCTTTACAGTGTACATTCACAGGAACAAAAGAAACTATACAGCACTCACTCTGGCATTCTGTAAGTCATCCATATGAATGAAATCCCTGACTGATGCTCTTGTGGGAGAACTCTGACGAAGCCCTTTAACATTATATGCAGCATAAGTGGTTCTCATTTAACATCATTCACAAAGAGAACCCTTCTACATTTTCATTATTACTCACATCTAGAGGTGCTGAAGAGTTGGCAGTATGATTCCACCCACAGCTCACCCATCTCAGGTTACCCTAGAGATGCCCAGGTGTGCACTGAGATGATGCTGAAATGAAACACATACAGCAATGGCTTTGTGAGCCATAAAAACAAACGTGCATATGCACAGTGATAGTGAGAATGCACAAATTTGTGTGCTAATTTTACAATTCAATACACCAAAAATTATACAAGGCAATTACCCATTATTTTAAAAGTAAAAGCAAGCCGCATTATGCAAGATGTGCGGCAGACACTGACTAACCAGGCTAAAAGGAGCATTCACCATTGTGTAAAATGATACTGTTTTCATGAGCTTTTAATTCACAAGACAGTTTTGTAATTTACATGAGCGCATGCTTACAACTTCAATATTTTCCATTAATATTAATCTTTAGAGGAGAAAAAGATGCATAGATGTGATTAAACTAACCCAGATATCTCATCCAATTATAATCCTGCCATCCTGGTTTCTATCTGCTGTAAGGAAATCCTCTTCTTTGCTGTGGTGATGCCAGCCAGACAGACATTTCTACATCCCCTTTGGTTGCTGTTACCACTAGGGGACTCATTCAAATGTGTGTCTGGAGGGGAGTTGGCAGTTTGCTTCTTTGCTTTTGACTATAACCGCACTTTCAAGTGCCTCAGAACCTTACCTGTTACCTCTCAGTTGCCTCCTAGGGAAACCAGCTGAGAGATGCTGTTGTGCAGCAAGTCTCCAGTGGCCTTGCCCCTGGAAGTCTATCTCCTTCTGTCACAGCCAGGTGCTATGTCATTGTCAGGACTGACTGGGACAGCACTCTAAGCTTGTCAAACTCCGCTGTTTCCTCAAGCAGAAGAGTGAATCAGGGCATTTGCAGCAAGGGAGAAGAGATGCCCCTCACCACTTACACCAATGTTTCTTAAACTGTGTTCTGGGGCACACTGGCGCGCTGTGAGGCAGTTGGAGGTGTTCCGTGGAGAACAACAGAGTTAAAAATGGCCGCCCTTTATTTTTGCTCAATAACCTTCCCCCCAACTTTTTTTTGCTCAACAAAAAATCCTTGGTGTTCCTCACGAAAAAAAATTATTGTTTGGTGTTTCTCGGTCTTAAAAAGTATAAAAAAACCACTGGTCTACACTTAGCACACCCACATTAGAGGGAACTGCAGTCTCAGGTGTCTTGGTGGCTCCAGCACATACAAGAGATTGCACTGGGTGGAAGAATCTATGCATGTACAAGATAGTAGGAGCACATTTTGTTCAGGTTCACAGGACAGCTGAGAGCAGACAGATTCAGCTGCCTGTGGTCCTTCTCTTCTTCCCTGGCTCATTGTGTCTTTATTTAAACTGCTGCTCCTCACCCTGGAAGATGCAGATTCTAGACCTGGCCGGAAGGTTCTGATCTATTTCCCTATGTCAATGGGAACAGCTGCTTTTATCCATTTGACTTGATTCCTATTTGGGCAAGTGAGAGGCTTAACACCCTACCTAAAATGTTCTGAAGCTATTAACCTTTGCAAGTTGTCACAATCTTACTTTTATATCCCACTCTTAAGATAAATCCTGGCACCAACAACGTGAAATGCTTGCGTTGCTAATTTAGTGGTGGCCCTTGGAGGTCCTTGATCATAGAGTTCTAGTTCCTCCAGCATAAGCCAAGGCTGAATTTGATGTGAGGTCCTGCAGCACACAAGTTGTTTAAAAAGGCCTCTAACTCTCAAGTACTTGCAAAATCACCACGTTTTAAAAAGGTCTTTGTGAGGTCTATGTTCTTTGCTTTCCCTCCATGCATATAAGGATCTCTAGGGGACTATCTATGCAACTAAGGGTCAAGGGAAATCTCAGACACTCAAGTTTCTAGGAATAAGGTAGTTGGAGAACAGTGGCCCCACTTCCCTGCTCCCAACTCAAAGATGTCAGATAAGCTCTGAGCTCAGGAGTGTATCCTAAGGCTCCACTGCTAAAAACAGTGATTGGAGTATATGCAAGCCCAGTTAATTTGGAAGCATATGGGACCCAGTGATTGGGTTCACTCAATACACTGATAACTGTACAGGAGAGAGAGATCAGACATTTAGGAACCAGCACCTTCCCTAAATCCACTGCTACAAAGAGATGTTAAACCAATTGGGAAACACTCCAGTGTCTGCAATTGAGCTCTAACTCAGCAAACCTCTGATGGAAAAGACTTGGGAGTATTCTGCAGAGCCCTAGTTTTATGCCACCAGTTCTGCTAATTGTGTGGGGGGGGTGGGGGGGGTTAGTACTGAGCTATCCAGAATATGGATCTCTCTTGTGGGCCCAATTTTGACCTGTATTTTTGTACCCCACCCCAGATAAATTGCAGTTATGAATAATAGTGCTTGGGATTGAAATAAAACTTAGTCAGATGCAGCAGTTAGCTACCTAATGACCTGTAATTAATTTGTAGATGAAAATTGTTCTTGAAAATGGGAACCATCCTGGGTCATGCTAGAACTCTAGCTCCATGCTTGACAGACCATATTGCAACCACAGGCAATATTTTGGGGGGTTATGCAACACTACAGGCCAAGGATTGTATGCAATGCCCAGGAGGAGGGTTACCATAGCTCCTTCAGGAACCAAAACCAGTGGGGACTGATTAAGGCAAATCATTTAGGTTGTAAAGATCTTCAGAAACATAATGCCCCCGGGAGGCTTGCACATACCGGTTTAAACTGAGTTTTCCAGAGACTTAACTAACAATGGAACAGGTTTTGATATAAACAAGGTTAAGTTTAAACTCACTCAGAGCTTTCTTTCTGATCCAGTGAACAAACAGGACCTTCCATCCAAGAAGGGTCCTAATCCTTGTGGTATATTGCCTCCGAAGGCCCCATCAGACTAATGGATGACTCCTGGTATATTTAGTGTATGTGTTTTTAGCAGTTACACGGTTACCTTATTAAATGACTTAGCATCCCTACTTTATAGGCAGGCCTGAATATTTATATTGTAACAGCAGCTATAGAACTTCACTGTGGTAGTCCCACACAATGAAAATCTCTGAGACAGTAACCTTTGCTCAAAAGAATTAGGCTTTACATATGTAAAGTATGGATTACTAACCCTCCAACAATAATTTAATAGTAAAAGGTAAACAGGAGGGTGTACAGTTTTCATGGGCCCCCGGACAAGGTGTGGGAGGAGCAGCTCTGCACCCCAAAAGGGGCAGGGCCAGGGGAAGCCAGCCCCCAATACCTCCAGGGCCATGGCACTGGGCCCTTCTAGTCCTCAGAGCTGCATGGGTGTGACATGGTGCTCTACCTCTGAATCACTGGGCCCTGGTGCAACTGGCCCCTTACCACATCCCCCCACCTCCCCAATCGGTGGGCCTGAAGGTGACTGGAGCTAAGGGCAGCTTATGAAAGTACCAGGGGGGCTAGATGTGTTCATTATTTGGCTTGGAAATACAAAAAATTAAAATGTAAAGTTGAAAAACACATGATGGAGGATGTCTGAAAGTCATTCAGATAGCTGCCTTGTGCAGTTACAGGAGGCTAAACTGAACGTAGGCTTGTCTTTTTTTTTTATTATTGTTCACTTATGTGCACTTCTGATGTCACACACATACCCAGAGCAGAAAGGAGACTTTTTCTGTTTCTAGAAGGGGGACATTTTGGTACTACTGAAATAAATGCATTTAAGCAAAAGTTTTGCCATTTCCCTGTCTGACTACATACCACTTCAAATAGCCCCTTGGTGGCATCAGAAGTTGCATAGGTACAAAGTACAAGAAATTGAGATTCCTGGGTATGACACTTTGTCATGAAAGCTCAATCAGTCATAGTTCTGCTATGCAGCACATATTGAGCTCAGAAGAATACAGGTAGTGAGGACTAGTGACTCTGCCATCTGAGGCCTAATACAAAGCCCAAGGAAGTGAACGGGGTCCTCCCAGTGACTGAAAAGAAAGTATATAGTTTAAATAATTATATGGGGAGAGATTTCTTGATCTGAAAAAAAGTATTAGGAAGCATTGTACGTGCAAGCTTAGATGCTGTACCATTGTAACCTCAACTACTACATTTTACAACAGAAGAGAACTAGGTGTCTTTTATGCTTTCCTTTTAAGGATAAATGTATTAACACACATCACGAGTCCACAGTACCCCTTCCAGATGTACAAACTGATTCAGTGCATCAGGAATTATCTTAAAGGAAAACTGAGGGAAAGCAAGGTATGAGCAAGCATCAGTTACCCACACACAGTGGAATGCAGGGCTCCCTCTGACTGCCATTTGCTCCCCACAGTGACCTGTCTGCCTCACTGCTTCCTCTTGATAGAGCTAAAAAGAAGGTGAATGACTCTGCCATCTGTCTATTTCCTATGTATGTTTTGTATATCTGATCGCTGAAATAGAGCGGGGAGCAAGGTGAGAAGGAAGATAATTACAGCACAATTTTTAACCAGTTAATATTGGCATAAAACTTCCCAAGGAGATCATGTAGCTGGCTCTACGTCTGTATGTGGTATAGACAAGTTCCTTAGTGTGAGGAACGGAGGAAGGGTAAAATCTTTAGATGTGCCTAAGTGACTTAAGAACCTAATTTCCATTTTCAATAAGCTTCGGGGGCCTCTGCATCATTAAGTCAATGAGGCTTGGGCTTCTAGGTACAGATTTACAAGTTATTGATGCACCTAGTCTAGTGGTTCTCAAACTTTTTGGCCCATGGACCATCTGGCTCAATGTAAACCTTTCTCTGGACCATCAGTTGCTAATAGAAACTCACCGTTAATTGCATAATTACACCCGAGACATTTTGCTAGTGCTGCAGCTAGGAAGACTGATTTAATTTAAATTATTAAACAGATTAAGCACTTTAACTTTCACATGTTAGTTTAATCAAACTTCATTTTAAATAAAATAAAATATTAATTTATGTCCAACACAAAAGGTTTCAATGTTCTCTGTCCTGAAATGTGGCACCCAGGACTGGATACTCCCGTAACAATACGCAATGTTACTTCCTTCTGTCTTTTTATTTGGTTATGTTTAATTTTGTTTTAGCTACAAGTTGTGTTTAAATGTAATTATCTTCCTTTAAAATAATACAGTGATTACCTCCTGGCACCAGAGGCCCAAAACAAGTCCACACATAATGGAAACTAAATAATTTATTTCCATGAAAATATAACCTTAACTACCATTCAAGGGAGAGACATTAACAGGAGTTGGACTGTGTCAAGTACATAGGCCACCAGAATTAATTATCAACAGACAGATGTGGTTTGAGTAGCTAAGTGTTCATAACCCTATAGTGTATCGCTTTACTCAAACGGGAAAATACAAGATCTTTCAAGACTGTATCCACTGGGTCCTGCTTATTTTAAGAGAATTCTATGTAAAATATTCTGTTGTTGGTCTCTTAAATTGCTGGGTTTGCTACACTTCTGCTCTGGTGGGTTTTATTGTCCGTTAATTGCCTTTGATTCTCAGCCTGGAATAGTCAATTTCTCATCTTACCCTCATCACACACTGTGGTACTTCCACTATTCTGATTAGGTTGCCAAGATCCCTTTCCATCTTTAAATCTTGGCCTAAATTTTCAAGTTAGTATCAGCTTTGTGTGTCTCCATTTCTGGATGCCCAACATTAGACACCTTAAAGGCACCTCATTGCTGAAAAGAGCTGAGCTCAAGCCTTCTAAAATACCAGGCCCCTTTAAAGAGTCCCAAATTGGATAGCTAAAGGTAAAGTCTCCCTACCCCAGAAACTACTACCGGTTGCATCTCCCAATTCCAGGATTCTCCTCTCCGGCAACATCCATGGTCTGGCATGCCCACGGATGTTCCTGCACGAGAGCCCCAGGGCTGGCGAGCCAGCAGCTGGGAGTCCAGTTTAACCCTAAGAATCTACTAGCAGTGGGGCTGCAGAAGCCTGAGTGGAGTGCAATCGGGACTGTCTGCCACTTGGCAGTGGGGCTGGGTGGGCCTAAGAGGGGAAGCCTGCCCAGGCCATGTCAACTTGGGAAGCAGCGGGGCCGCAGCAGCCCAGAAGGCAGCAGTGTGAGTGGGGCTGCCTGCTGCAGCCCAGACGGGGAAGCCAGCCATGGCAGCCTGGCAGAATCAGCACCGCTGGGGCCACATGCCACCCAGCAGCAGGGTTGAGGCTGAGGCAACCCGACCAGGCAACATTCTGTTTGGCAGTGGTGCTGGAGCTGCCTGACTGGCCAGCAGGAAAACCAGGGGTGGCCTGCAGACAGCTCAGATAAGTCTGAAGAAGCTGGCAGCCGGGAGGCACAAAGGGTTGAGGGGCTGGTGTCAGGGGATCTCACATTGTCTGGCAAATTCCCTCATCTGGGACCAGTCAGGTCTCAAGGGTGTTGGACAAGAGAGGTCCAACCTGTAGTTAATTTTGAAAAATGATTCTTCTTCCCTGTCTCTTTCTACTGTTTAGTTTGCTTGTCTATGCCACCTTTGTGGTCAGGAGACTCTTCCATAAGCAAAGTTTAACAGGAATTCAATCCTAGTGTCTACCCTGAAAACAGTCTATTTGAATGCCTTTGTGATGGTACAGTCTGAAATGTCTTCTATTAGTACTATGTGCCCAAAATCTGGCATATATACCACCTTCCACAAGTAAAGGAAGAGGTGCCTACAACTGTAGTTTTATTGTGTGGTTTTGCTTTGGTTTTTACTTTTCCAGAAAAAATAAGGGGGTTCCTCTAAGAGTGGAGAACATCGGGGTGAAAAATATACATATGTTCCATCACGTTTAAAGTTCTAGGTGTAGGGTTACTGTTGTTTTGGTTGTTTGCTGCATACTTGGCAATGTCCTGGCTGGTCTATTGAGACTTTCAGGTGTTTTCAGGGAGCTTTGGATCAGGCCCTGTGAGTGTAGTTCCAAGGTTAAACATGCTTATTTATCTCTCAGCCTCTAGTGGCTGTCATATAGGGGGAAAAAATCTTAATATAGTGTAACAACTGAAAGTGATTTTCTGTGCTAAGTAAATATAGTCTAGGGCAGTATTTGGACCCACTCTGAGAAAGCTGCTACTGGACTACTCTGGAGTCTGCTGCTTCCTGCAGTTCCCCTTGGCTTCAAACAGCAAACCGCAGCCAAGAGGAACAATGAGGCTCCATGGCTGTGAAGCTGATAAGCAAACAAACCAGAGCAGCCCGGTAGCAGCTTTTTCAGAGTGGGTCTGTGGACCACTTTGAGAAACACTAGTCTAGGAAAACAAAATTCAGGGAGACTATTAGCATGTTTTAAGTATAAGATTGAGTTACTCAAAGCTCAGTGTTACCAGTAGGAAAATGATTACCTCCCAGTTCTCTTTTCCCTCTGCCACCAAAGTACTTTGGAGAAGAGCCAGCGGATCTGGAAGCATTCCGGCTGCTTCCCCTTTGCCTCTTACTTTCTGTTTAGGGAGTCAAAAGTCACAAATGCTATTCTTGTGCCAAATGTGGTATGGGATTTTTTTGGTCAATGACTCTGGTTTCTGTATGTATGGAGACCTCAAACTGTGTACCAGGATTTCTCTTTAAGACCTTGTTCATGGTGGCTGTTTCCTTCAAAGAAGGGTAACTATTCCTCATTAATATGATCTGAACTTAATGTTGCTATATGATATTTTAGGGATGCATGATTTTAAATGTAACATGATAGTGATACTTCAGAGGTGAATGTAGGTTGGTATGGGCCAGTGCAGCATACTGGTAAAAACTGTCCAATGGTACCAGCCTATACTCAGCTGACATTAAAGTGCTGCCACAACAGTGCTTTAATGCCGCTGCCTGGGGACCTTCAAATTACTGCTGGAGCTCCAAGGCCCCAGCTGCTGCTGCTGCTGCCGCCGCCAACACCCTAGTGCTCCTGGCCACTGCATAAAGGGCTAGGATGACAGAAAGAGTCTGGCCCCAGCTCTGCCCCTTCCACTGGAGGCCTCATCACTTCTGCGGACCCAAAGCCATCCTCTCACCTTACCAAGGACCTTGGAGTATCAGTGAGTTCTGGCAATTATTTTCATCCCAGACAACATTATTGCCTGGTGCAAGTCAGCAATGATGCAGTCAAGCCACAAACACCAAATGTGCAACCAGTCTAGCCTTAAATACCATCTGTGAACCCAAGAGAACCATTTCCTCAGCTTCCTCTCTGGTATCTCCAGAATTGTACAATCTGCATTCAAAGTACCCGTAATTAAATTCTGAACAAAAAGTCTTTCAAGGTGGCTATTCTTCCAGAGCCACTGCAGCTGAAGTTCTGTTTCCATTCCAAATGAATTTAAAAGTACCAACTTGGTTTCACCTGAATCTCACTCTGGTTCAGCGCTCTCTCTCGAAGCCTCAGTTCCAAGCATTCTACAGTGAGTGGGTATGTTTTGAGTTCAAACTTATTAGCAAACATGTTTGGAGACTTAAACAGCCACTTTAGATCACCTGTTCCATATATACAAATGCCTCTGACGTAATGGCCTGTAAAAGGAAAAGACAACAAAAACTACATCAAGGACATAGGGCATTATGTGGGAAAGAGATAATGAGTCAAATTCATCCATGTAATAAAGCCATTAATTTCAGTGGAGTGAAGCCCATTTACACCAGATCTCTATTCACTACTGACTAAATTCAGAAGTAGAATAGGGAGTAATAAATATGAGTGGTAGAAGGAAATTAAGAAATAACTAATCTAGGATGCCATGAAGCAAAATATCCAAATAATGAAATCTATGGGCATGTCTATACCGCAGTGTTATTTTGGAATACCTGACGTTATTCCGAAATAACAAAGAGCATGTCTACACAGCAAGCCATTATTACAAAATAATGGTGATCTGGAGCACTTACTCCAACTCCTGTAACCCTCATTTCACAAGGAGTAAAGGAAGTTGAAGGAAGAGTGTTCTTCCTTCAGCTTCCTGATGTGAAGACAGCGCCAAAAGCCAAATGAAGCTATTTCGATTTCAGCAACACGATTGATGTAGCTTAAGTTCCATAAGCTGACTTTTGCCCTGCTGTGTAGATGTGCCCATTGAGAATAAAACATCATCTTGAGATATTGAAAACGGGCCCAAACAAACCACTGCAGAAAAAGTAATTTCACTCTGCCAGTGACAAGGACTGGATGATTCTGTAATTTTCCCCCCATCTAATTTCTATAATTCCAGGACTTAAGTTTTCTACTGAGTTACTCCAGTTTTAAACTGATGTAATTCCATTAATTTATGTGGAATTACATTGGCACAAAACTATTGTGATCCAGTTGCCAATTAAACCCTGTCTTAATTTGCTAAATGGTAGATGCTCTTCTACGTTCCTTAGCTCATCTACTTAAGAGGCTCGGTTCAGAAGAAACATTTGATGTAAAATGAAATAATTCTTACCGTATTTTCCGGCGTATAGGGCGACTGGGCGTATAAGACGACCCCCTATCTTTTTAATTAAAAGATAGGGTTTCATCTTATATCCCAGTGCCCCTCCGCCTCCTTTGCTCCCGGTGTCCCTGGTCTGCTGGAGATGGTCCCCAGCAGACCAGAGGCACCGGGAGCAAAGCC